GAGTAAGTCAAGCTAACTAGTTAACTAGCTACAACGGCCTCCGCAAGAAAGGAAACTGTGTGCTGTTCAAAGTATGTCGCGAGCTAGTCAGCAAGCCACAGGCATTGATCACCCTCAAAGCCCTCTGAAAAGGAATACGTTGTTAATTAGGAGATGGAACAGGAATACCTAAGGGAATAAATAGTACTTGATGCCAGCATAAGTTCTTCAGTTTAAATTCTTAGTGTGAGTCAAAACTTTTTACAGGAGCTTCCAGAGATATGGAGTATATTGTTTCTTGGGATGTCGGGGACTGTCGGTATAATCAGGAAGAAAGAATAATTATTTTTGAACATCAATATTCTCAATAAGAGTGATATGATATTTTCGGGTATTCAATCTGCCGTATACATCTATTATAATATATAAAGTTTCTTAGTTATACAATTTTATTGATGTAATCATCACTTTTCTGGTCAACTAATAAAATCATCATCTTTTTTATTATAGAGAAGGCAAACTTAAAAAGTATTTACTATCGTAACTGATATAAAAATCAATTGATTATATTCTGTTAGGCCACTGGGGCAAACGAGCTCGATCACCAAGTAGCGGGGACGAAACCACGAAACCGTGCTCGGAATTATTGTTTTTATACTAAGAATCTATATGAAAAGTATCTATATTCATATTTTATAATTTCACTATATAGAGTGACGAAAGAAAGATGATGTAAACTGAGGAAGCGGGAGATCAGTAGTTAGTTAATCAGAGAAGATAGATTTAAAACTTCTAAATAGAATCAATCACCATCCCACACTCGAACGTGGGGCCAACAAAAAGTTGAATGCGGTTTCAAATCTCGGCTGGAGAATGTAAACATATATGTGCAGTGCGCTAGACCGTAATGAGGTAGCCTAGGGCCAACAAAACATCTCATAACAAGGCATTAATAATGCACATCTTTTAACTAACTAGCTAAACTCTCAATGCAATGATCTTAAAAATGACATTTCTTGGACTCTAACCCCCAGTACGAAGAATCCGGTTGGTGAGCAGGCAATTATCAATGGATGCGATTGAGGTTGGTGTGACGATAAGGTGGTAGCTAGTATGTAGTATGTATTTGAAGCCAGGTGTTGACAGTCCACATTTCACCCAAAATGTATTAGTCATACTTTTTCGGCTGAGATTTAAAAACCATGGTTCAACTTTTTTTCAACCCACATTCAACTGTGCACTGAAGAATTTGGAAGCGGTGGAATAATTACTACATAGAGTTACTAGTAGTAGTATGCGGTTTTCAAGATCGTCTCACATGCGGCCTCAATAGTCAGTTCACGACGTGGTGTGAACTGGCATTCCTTCTCCCGCTCCTTTGTCCAACTGGCAAAATACAGTACTTACATCCACAGCCCTTACATTATCTTCACGCGTACGGTATCCCTGCCGTTCCGTGCTCTCTCCTCCGTAGTAGTTGACAATAACCACATTGTATACCATACCATACCACACGTAAGCTTCAGTGCAAGGACTAGGCCCGTTGTCTTCTCAGCCAACTTCATCCATCACCGAAACCCCCGACCTTCTTCCCTGTCGCATCGCCGCAGCACGCAGCACGCAGCACACAGCACAAACCACACCCCTTTCTTGGGTTGCCCATTTTCCAGTTCTGCTGCGTACCGTTTTCATTCCTATCTCGCGCGCCAATCCGTGCCCTGCTTTCGCCAGAGTAGTTATTTGATACCTAGCTAAGTATTGATTTCGTCTGGGCGCGCGGACTGGCCGCTTCGAAACCGACGGCGAGGTTAGTTCCTCCCACCCAGCGTGGCTTCGTGCCCAAAGCCCATCATCTCACTCGGGCCACACATTTCACTCGCCCTTGAATCGCTTGTGGTTGCCGGCTTTCCCCATCGTCTCTTTGAAACATCTCGTCGTTCCATTCCCTGCCAACCGCTGGACGCTGTAATTTCAGCTCTGTCGCTCAACCCCATCCGCACACTCTCCCTGTCTTCTTTGCTGGGTATTCTCTCACGGCCGTTTCCGTCGTGATCTTCTCCTGTTGGCTGTGTTCGTGGTTGTTGTCGACCGATCCTTGATTCCAGGGATATGGACCAAGCAAACCCCCCGCCCAAACAACAACGACGTCCTTCCACCAAACTTCACAAACATCCTCATCAACTCTCTTCAAGTTCCTGGTCGCTCAGAAAACAGCCAAGCGTTACTTCGCTTCGAAGACACCCTTCCGCCCCCGTGTATCCCCGCTCCCACGCTGGTTCTAGCTCTGAACACCTCCGAACCAAATCCAACGTCTTTGGTTCCTCCTCATCCTCTCTCGATCGGAACAGCGCCCGCCAATCGCCAGCCCTCAACACAGCTATTACGAGCGATATTGGCGCTTCCGCGTCCAACGTTTCTGTTCAACCCCGCCTTCAATATAGCCATCGGCATTCTTTTACTGATCGAAGTTCCGATGATTTAATCGGGAGTCCTTTCGACGCGCAGACTATGCTCAACGCCCTCGATTCATCCAAGCCAGGCGACCAGCCTCAGTCTGCAAGCCGTCCCCCTCTCCTACACTCTTACCACACTAGTCCCGATCCTGGTTCTTTAAATCCCTCGATAGGGCAGTCCACGAGCTTCACACCACTCCCGCAATATATGGACCCCTCCTCTACCTCTCCTACTGAGGATGGCGGAACCATTTCATCCTCAAATCGATATTCTGATGAGAGCGGAGGTGGAAATGGTGGCGTCGGTAGAATCGGTTTGAGTAGGCGGAAGACAGGGTTTTCCAATTTTATGAATAGCATGCTGGGCTCTCCTCGAAACATCAAAATCTCGGCACCGGAGAACCCCGTTCACGTCACGCATGTCGGGTATGATAATGAGACCGGTCAATTTACGGTATGTTCTTTATATATTCCTTTTTTGACTTCAATTTAGGGAAATAAAGGCTTCATGGGGCCAACAATTTTGTTTCCTCCTTGGGTGGGGAATTATAGTTTTTGCCCCGCTATCAAATAACAACAACTAACACCCTCCTTTATTTCCTTTTAGGGCTTGCCGAAGGACTGGCAACGTATGCTCCAAGAAAGCGGCATTTCAAGGAAGGAGCAAGAGCAGCATCCACAAACCATGGTGGATATCATGAAGTTTTACGAGAAAAACGCTGGTGGTCGGGATGAAGATGACGTTTGGCATAAATTTGACCATGCCGTGGCCCACGAACATAACGAGGTTGGGCCTGGTTCAAAAGGTGCATCCGGTGCGCTGAGCCCCGGCCCATATACACAGCTCCACGCCATAAACTCTCCGCCAATCAGCCCCAGATTCCCACAAAATCACGAAGGGAGCTTCGAAAATCCCAGGGCACCACCGCCAATTCCACGCTCCTCATCCAGCGCGAACCCTCTACCCCCTAACAAAGCAAACTCTCTGTCTAGTAGAGTACCAAACCGCGCTGCTCCAAAACCTCCAGGCGTTCCAACTAATAATTTGATTCCTGTTCGACCTGCCCCGCCGCCTCCAGTTTCAAAGGAGCCCAGCAGTGGTTCCAATCGGCCGGCACAAGAGCTGCCTGCACAGTCCTTTGCGGCGCGCCCAACTGCGGAATCTGGCCAGTTGCCTCTTGAAACGCAGCCTAGTCCATCTAATCCGAATGCCAATGACGCAAGTTTCGAAGGAAACGCCCTGGCACAAGCAACGGCTCCCACTCAATATCAACAGCTCCAGGAGCAAGCCACTACTGCTGCTCAACATGCCATATCCCATAAACAGCTTGAACGATCAAGAAGCCAACGCCAACAGCAAGGGCTACAGTCTCAGCCACAACAGCCACGCATGCACCTACAACATGTCCCTCCTTCCGTACAACAGCAGCAGCAACAGCAAGAAGCAACCGGGCTAACAGATTCGGCACCGCCATGGCCCGAACGCCAGCAATTCATCCCACCCACTCCCCACCAGCAGTTCTCGCAAAAAGCACCTGTTATACAGCAGACACCACACCAACAAGGTCACCTTGGTCCATCTCCCCGGCCGCGCCAACGACCACGCCAGAGCAATGGGCTTGACATCAGGGCCCGGCTAAATGCAATTTGCTCGAGCGGCGACCCCACCCGTAAGTATAGGAATTTAAATAAAATTGGACAGGGTGCATCCGGCGGCGTGTATACCGCTTATGAGAATGGGACCAACAAATGTGTCGCGATCAAACAAATGAACCTTGAACTCCAGCCCAAGAAAGACCTGATCATCAATGAGATTCTTGTAATGAAGGACAGTAAGCACAAAAATATCGTGAATTTCATGGACAGCTATCTGCATGGCGGGGACCTCTGGGTTATAATGGAATATATGGAAGGGGGAAGTTTAACAGATGTTGTTACCTTCAACATTATGACAGAAGGCCAAATTGCGGCAGTGTGTAGAGAGGTATGTTTCTAACATCTTTTCAAGTTCCCCGTAATGCAAAGTAACCGCACTAACTAATTAGACCCTCAATGGGTTACAACATCTCCATTCGAAAGGTGTTATCCATCGAGATATTAAGTCCGATAACATCCTTCTCTCCCTGGATGGCAATATCAAACTCAGTAAGACTTCACATACCCTACCTTATTGTCTCCTCACAGCTGATAAATAGTTAGCCGACTTCGGTTTTTGTGCTCAAATTAATGACTCTCAAAATAAACGCAATACAATGGTTGGAACTCCGTATTGGATGGCTCCTGAAGTTGTTACGCGCAAAGAATACGGGCGAAAAGTTGATATCTGGAGCTTAGGTATTATGGCAATTGAGATGATAGAGGGGGAGCCCCCTTACCTCACTGAATCACCGCTGCGTGCTCTCTATCTGATTGCGACAAATGGCACCCCAACCATTAAAGATGAACAAAATCTGTCACCTGTTTTCCGAGAATTTTTGCATTTTGCCTTGAGGGTTGATCCAGAGAAAAGGGCCTCTGCCCATGATTTACTCAAGGTAAGAGGACTCCTCATTACGAGTATTCCGCTACTTTCACTTGATATCCACTACTTGCTAACGAAACTCGCGCAGCACAATTTCATGTCCCTATGCGAACCTCTTCCGAGTCTTGCGCCTCTTGTTAGAGCAGCCCGGATAAGCAGGGCTCAAGAGAAGGCCCAGAAAGGAAGTGGCTAGTCTTTCCTTCTCCATTGTCCAGCCCAATGCTCAGTCGAATAACCACGCTCAAAATCCTCATATTTCACTCCTCACGATGTGATACCCGTGGATTTCTTGCCCTACATTTTATTATTTTATTTTTCATCTCCATGACATTACCTTATGCCTTGGTATTTACTTCCCCGGATCCCATTTTTGCGGTTTTAGATGGGCCAGTAGCCGTGTGGTTTTCGCCCGTTCAATTCTTGCTTCTTAACATTATATGTTATTTCATTGCAAGATTATCTGCGGCCTACACTAAATATAGAGCGCGCTTGATCTAAAATTGACCATACGTCTATTCGTCTTTCACTTGCATGTCGCCACCAAACGTGTCCGCTCAAGTATACACAATCTGGGCCACAGCCTGATTTATTTTTTGACGATGACTTGCCATAGTATGAATGTTTGTCCCTTATTTATATGTTGATCCCATACAATCCACCTGCTTTTCTGTTTCGGTCTTCAACCCTTTGATTTCCGCCGTCAAGATCATCACGAAACTAGATCGCTTTTCTTTTCTTTCCTCTTGACTTTACCTTGAATCTCTTGGCTTAGAACATAACATGTGGTTTATGGCGTCCGGTTCCATTGACAGCTACAGTATAAAGTATATGCTGCAGCTTATCGAGGAAATGCAGATACCATGTCAACTTGTCTATTCCCCTGCCCCTTCTTTGACCCTTCCCCATTTCAATTAAAGCATTGATGTGACTGAATTGCACATTTCCTACCATCATCATCCTATCTACATAAGGCTCATAGAATAAAATATATTACGACGTATCTGTGTCAATTGTTTATAAAGTGGACCGGTTATTCTAGTGCATAGGCAGAGCCGGAAAGGGTTTTAAAGGGCTAATAGAATTTATGGGAGGGGGTGAATGATAAGAACTTGGGTTCGTTGCGCGTCTGCGAAGCTCGGCCAGTATTCTGTAGCGCTTCGTTACATTTTTTGATAATACCTCTGAGGACTCTGCCACACATGTTAAATTTTCAATCGACACTAAGTTAACGGTGCTAAATTTGTTGGTTGGGCAGTTTCTTAGCGGACGAAGGTACGTAATGCAGTGTGGAGGGGAATGCCTGGTGGCCTGATAAGATGTCCATGTGTGGTCGGTCACATGGGATAGTTTGTCATATTATAAGATCCACTCTCCACGTTGAGAACAAGGCTGCTTTCCAAGGTTACCCGCATCATCACCGCATCATCACCACACTTCATCTACGTGCGATATCCTTGCCCAAGTCCAACACCGTTTTAAACCGAGCTTCCAGATTACAGACATCGAAGTGTTGCCGCCAAGAACCTTGTTGCCTGCAAACCGTCACATATGCGCTTTGGCCTCGGTCCCGTCACCTTCGTTCCCATCTACAAATACGATATTTGGTTATTTGGCGCCACACGCTCGTTCCATTGACCGGGGCAACTTGAATATACGCCATCGGTCATTCAGTCAACAGATCCATCCTCCTGAGCTACTCCCCCTAGCCTGTTCAACCGCAGGATCAAACCATGTTTCGCACGCAACAAAATGCCTTCGACGACGCCGTTGGTGAGTGTTATCCTATCCTTATAGTTCCTATACATGGCTTATACACAGGCTAATGAATTTCCCATAGCCAAGGCAACGGACGAGAACTTGACGTCGGAAAATTGGGAATTTATTCTTGTACGCTATCACAGGAAGGATTGAATCAGATTTGCCCAAAATTGCCTGATTGCTGATAAAACGATGGTGTAAAGGATGTTTGTGATAAAGTCGGTGGTGAGGATACGGGGTATGGCTCTGGAGTGTTTGCGGGAAATTAGAATTATTCGATGTTTTTATACCGACTAACTCTGATCATCGGGATTCACAGCGCAAAAGATGCTGTTGCTGCACTGATAAAGCGAATCGCACATCGGAATGCCAACGTTCAACTTTATACTTTGGAAGTACGTTCATGGTTCATGATTATTTGTGAGGCTTTCGCTAATCAAACCAGCTTGCCAATGCTCTTTCGCAGAATTGCGGGGTGAAAATGCACCGTGAGCTGGCCTCAAGAAGCTTCACGGATTCCCTTTTACGTCTTGCAAATGATCGGGTATGTTAGATTTCTATTTTAATTCGCTATTGCATATCGTTCACGTCATTTGCTAATCGATTCATGGCCAATAGAATACCCACCAACAAGTAAAAGCGAAGATACTGGAACGAATGGAAGAATGGACAGAAATGTTTTCGAGCAATCCTGATTTCGGCTTAATGGAACAAGCTTATATGAAACTCAAGTCACAAAGTAGGTAGGATGTTCTTTTGCGCGAGCTTTTTTTTAGCGGTTTCTTGGTTCCAATTTCCTGTTTAACAGTTAATTTGAACAGATCCAAATCTCCAACCCCCATCGAAACCAACGAAGCGGCAAATTACCGACTTTGATAGACAGAAGGAGGAGGAAGAACTTCAAATGGCGCTCGCATTGTCTATTAAGGATAAGCCTTCCACGACCCAGGGCACAACCACTGCACAGTCTACTTCCAGCCAGGAAAATCAGAGCGCGCTGGCAGCCCCCCACCCTGTTCCATCAGGAACTACCGCAGCCACCGTTTCTCGGGTTCGAGCCCTTTATGACTTTCAGCCTTCTGAGCCTGGAGAGCTCCAGTTCCGCAAGGGCGACGTTATTGCTGTTCTCGAATCCGTCTACAAGGATTGGTGGAAAGGTTCCTTGCGCGGTCAAACTGGAATCTTCCCTCTAAACTATGTTGAGAAACTATCAGATCCAACGCAAGAGGAACTCCAAAGAGAAGCCCAAATGGAATCCGAAGTTTTCGCCGAAATAAAAAATGTGGAGAAGCTGTTGACCCTGTTGAGCACCAGCAGTTCAGAATTGAATGTTCAGGACAATGACGAAATCACCACCCTGTACCATTCGACCCTGGCTATACGGCCAAAGCTTATCGAATTGATTGGCAAATACTCGCAGAAAAAAGGTAAACCTTTTCGTTTTTTCATCTCATCAAGCTATGCTAACATTTTCAAAGATGATTTCACGCAACTTAATGAAAAGTTCATCAAAGCTCGAAGAGACTACGAATCCCTTCTTGACGCCTCGATGGCTCATCCAGCACAACCATATTATGGACGACTTCAAAAGACTACGTACGGTTACCCATTGCAAAATACATCCGTGGGATATCCCCAAGGCCCCCCACAAGATGATCCGCAGCGTTACTATGCCGCTCGCCCGCAAGGTATGAAATATATTTTTCTTACTCCCTTTTTCCGTTCTTTTCGGGACTTTCCCTTCTGATCAGTGTCAATTCCTGCGTCTAATGGCATATAGAGGGCCAGAAACCTTTTCAAGCTGCTCAAACCCCGCTCTACAGTTCTGAACAAGTTCCACTTCCTTACCCAAACAATGGACAGACATCCGACACCGGACAACGAACTCCCAGCAGTTCACAACATTTGCCACAGCCCCAACAACAATTACCATCCGACGAGTACGGGGCAAACAGTGTTGTTCAGAACCATTCTGAGGGTGTCTCCGACTACCCTCAAGAGCTTGCGACATCGGTGTATGAACCCCCACAAGACACCGTTCCACTAAATAATCGACACTCCTATCATTCCCCAGGCTACCAGACTCAACCATCTGTCTCGCAGCACAAGCCACAGTCGCAGCAGCCTCCAGACTTTTCTTCCGCATCATATTCGGCCGTCGGTCTTTCCACACCGCAAACTCAATCTGCTAATCCACCATATCCCTCTCAATCGCATCCACTTCAGCATCGCCAACAACAGCAAAACTTCTCTACATCGACTCCGCCTCAGCCTAACAAAGCACCTCCACCTGGCCTCCCATCCGGTACCCCGGGTCAGCCTCCGTATCCTATTGTCCCTGCTGGTGTGAGACCGGGACCTGCCAGTGAAGGGTACCAGCCCCATCACACCATCGGCGGCACACAAGCCGCTTCTTCAAACGTAAATACAAACCCAAGTTCTTTCTATCGGTGAGTATGTGGCTGTCGTCGCCAACGATGGTGACCAATGACTTAAGAGGAAATCGGGCAATTGCAAGAAACTTCTATCTTTTTTTGCCGTGCATGTTCTTCTATCTTGTTGAAATATCTTCACCAATTTGTTTCGCCTCTTTCTAACAGCATATGGATCAGCCCCGTTGGTGTAACTATGTTAATATTTACCCCTTTGCCAAATGGAGTCATATGTTATGGGAAGCCGCTCTTGTTGTTCCTCTCGCTTACTTGTTTTCTTTGATATATCGGAACTCCACAACTTATGTTTCTAATTCGAATTTTTGCTGCTGGCCCTTTCAACGTTTGTATAACTTGCTACGTAGATATCCCGAATACCGACTTTTGTGTGTGATGTTGGTTGCTATCATTTTGCGGATCAGTTTATCTCCTCACTTTCTGTACACATGCATCCCTGGCTGTAGAAGGTAGAGATGCTTTGACTTCAAGAAAAACAAACTTTAATAAACTTTGAGAGTACTCTACTCATATCAATTCACCTTACAACTACTCATAAATATAAAGGTATGTTTGAATATTTGCTTTTTCAACTGTTGGCGCATGTTTTGCATTTATTCATCTGTTTCCAAAACGCTCAAAGTAACTAGACAGTAAGAACAACAACCTCAATAATAATAATAATAGCATCAAGCGAATGATCAATAGAGTATATTGCTCTTTGATTCTTTCACTATGATAAATAAGATATAAATTAATACTTGCTTTTATTATATAACTATATCTACTCAAACAGTGCTGTATTTACTAAATAGTTATAATAAATCAATCTTTCACCTTCATCATAATTAACTCACAATAAATTGTATTATTTTTCCTTTAATTTAAAAACACCATCCCCAATTAGGCCGTGTATAATTACATCCCCTACAATCTAATTGACGACCAGTAGGTTGATGTATCAAACAATCTGTTGGATATGCACATGGAATTTCATGACAGTACCAAGCTCTCGAAGCTAAAACCATATCTGGTTTATTTATAGACTGTAATACTTTATACAAAATATGTTAATATTATTTAAATTATTGTTATTTAGTATAATTTATAATGTTTTTAACTTACAATTTAATTTATTGAATATAAAATCATTAAAATCATCATCTTCATCCTCTAATGGTGATGTTGAATCTTGAAAATTATTATTTTTTTGATATATTTCAATATCTGATTTTATATCCTTTATAATATTATTTATATCATATATTTTTTTATCAATAGTAGAAGATATAGTTTTCTTCATTAATAAAATAAAATTAGTTCTTAATAAATTATTATAATATTATAATTAATAAATTAAAAAATCATATTATATACTTACTACTGGTAATATCGAATGAGTCATTATATAAAAAATAATATTCAAAATGAAGTTGGATATATTATTAATATTCATAATGAATATTATTTATTTCAATATAATTTAATCTTCATTAACAATTATTCAAAATATATAAAAAGGAAAAAGAAAAGGAATTTATAATTTATAAATTATTTTACAACAATTAAATAGTTAAATTTATATTATGTTGTGATAAGATAGCATGACCACTAGGTTATAACTTATCCATAGCAAAAAGCCAACGTAACCATTTGTTAAATGGTTGCGCTCATAGTGATATATATACCCGTGGGTGTGGTGGTGTAGCTCGGCCCACAACGGGCGTGGCCACCCAATCCACCACCTATCTCGCCGGTGCTAGATAAATCTTTCCTTACAGCATACGACGAACCCCCCACACAGACGACGCTTGCATATATGTGAGTGTTGTTCACGCATGCAATTTCTTATATCTTTGGTTGTATAACAGTTTCCTTTCTTTTTAGTTGATTCTCTTATATGCTTTCTCTTACATTATTCAAGATAGATTGTCAGATATTATACACGTTGGTCTTGTGGTTTTCTACTGAGTGATCCAGCTGCGGCGCTGCTCCGGTTTTCGCGCGCGCACAAACCTCAATTCCCATTTCAATACAACAAGCTGAAGCTAGTGCCAGGGCAATAGTTTTAAATAAGTATTAATATATTTAATAATAAAAATCTCTATCAAAGATTTTTTCAGTCAGTATTTTAAAATCTGTTGTTCTGAATCTGGAAAAGAAGAAAATTGTAGAGCACAAGCAGCATTCTGTCATAACTCCGAGTTTGAGTTGGTGATATCTTGGCATCACAGTTTCACTCAAATCTGATTAGATATGTAATTTATGTGTAATACAGTCTCCAGCATTAAGTTTGACACCTCTGTGATGTCAAGATATCATTAACTCAAACTCAGTTATATCAGAATGCTGCTTTTACTTTACAATTTTCTCTCTTTTCAGATTTAGAACAATAGATTTTAAAATACTGACTAAAAAAATCTTTGATAAGATTTTCATTATTAATTATAGCAATACTTATTTAGAATTTAGTACACTAGTACTAACTTCAGTTTATCACATATCTCATTACACAAATGACAATGATTTTTTCATATTTCTAGAGAGACTCTAATACTTAACTAATTCTAGTTAGTCTCTAATGTATAGTTCTAGTATTCACTTGTAGTATAGATGATGAGAAATGATGTGAGCTGAGCGTTAGTAATATATCTAGATTCTAGTATATGTATAGTTTTAGTGAACCTTCAAGATTCACATTTTATTGGTTTTATTCTTAAAGTCAATAGAATGGTCTTACATAAAATATTTATAATATCTTCTACACTAGTGAAGATGAGCATGAAAAGCAGCTATATAGATATTAATGCAATATAATTAGTGGGGGGGTTTCGAACTTAATGTCCCCCACTGTATATACATAGTACAGAAGCAATAGAATTCAAAATTACAGAGAAGCCCGATCTTACTTCAATAGGAAGGCAGTGTGTACTAAAATTATTTTTCGACTTGGCGTTGCAGAATCCCTCTACACTGTAATAAACCACCAACCTTTCACTGTGGTTTCCATACTATGCTGCGATGGTCGCAGTGTATAGGTGGTGTGATGGGTAGCCACGGGTATATATATCACTATGAGCGCAACCATTTGATGGTTACGTTGCCTTTTTGCTATGGATTCTTCGCTAAAAGGAGGGTTGTTCCCATCCTCTTACCAGCGCCGTGGAGCATAAATAACCCTAATACCCTAACCGAGCTACTTACTACTGGCGACCTATGCCACAAGGAGATCGGGTGGAATTTTTGGGCCGGCTGACGCTCAGACTGTCCCTCTGCGATCCTCGCAGCCCAAAACGAAGATAAATATTTAATTTCCCCATCTCCCAACCAGCTCTGTTATTGGCGTGTCCTTCCTACATATCTTCATCTCTTTTTTCGTGTATGCAATAGCTTTTCTCACTCTTTGTGCCCTGGATTTCGGCAGTTAGCTGAACGGAAAGATGGTCCTGGCCCCGCACCCGCGACCATCTTTCGTGGTAGAGATATATGTTTATATATATTCTATGCACAATTTCCATTGACGTAAAAGTTCATTATTTTCCTAAAATCTCCGTTAAGATATTTAAGATATCCTCACTCACTCGATCGGATATCTTAACACTGGCACTGGCAGTTCGAAAGCATATTTCGTATGAAATTTAATATTGTTTTCTATGCTCCAGGTTTCCTGCCTGCTGCCATTTTCTTTTTTCTTTTTTCACTTTCATTTTTTAAACAGTATTATTTTCTTGCAATACACTCCGGAATCTTGAGGAAAGAATATCCACTTTCTTTCTTGTGTCCTTAGCTGTTGTATTATTTTTGGTGTTGGCTACTCTGTTCAATGCTGGATTCGAAAGACTTGAGGCACAAGGAACCTAGGAAACACAGGGGGAGAGAAATGCTGCATCAGTATTTTGTTTCTGTTGTGTTGTTGTCACTTCTAGAATCTCTCCAGCCTCCTTTATTCCTCACAATAACAATAATAAACAAATCTCCTCACAAACATACACACAACTCACATCTTCTGTCATCTTTGATATCCTTTCTCTCAGTTGTCTGTGCAGGCTTGATATCCCTGCGTCATCTCTCCACATTTCTATTCCTTGAGACCCCCGACAATATCAATCCTTCTCCTTATAGTCACCCACCGAACCCTAAAGAATCCCAATCTGCAATGTGTCAGCTCACCATGGTTAAGGTGAGGCATCAGTGCGGGCATGTTGTTGACAGCTATGGCTACATCCTGCAATGCCCAGCGTCTCTCGCGAACATCCCTCCCTCCCCCTGCGCCTCTCCATTGACGAATTGGAGCTTTGGACTCCGCATTGTGCGTAACCCTTGCGTTGACTGCCTCGCCAAGGGAAGCTGGAGGCAAACTGCTCAGGGAGGATGGGAACGAGTAACGCGCCGTAAGTTGGCCTGCCTCTGGGAGTAGCAGGCGCTGTATTTGAATTGACACAAAGATGTTTCTCCCTACAGCAGATACGGAGGCCTCACAGCTTGACTAAACATGTTGGATGCAAGTGTCACCAAGTGCATGAACATACTACTACTGATGAGCTCTGGGTGGATGGCTGTTCATTCTTGCATCTATGTCTGAACAAAACTAAATATGTTCAATCTGCTTGTGTGAGCTTGTACCTAGCTATGCGTGAATCTTCTTTTTCAATGAATGCAAGGCATCAATGTTCAGTGTTACTGTGCAGTTTTGCAAGGGTATAAATGCCTAGTTTACACAACTTGTGTTGTTTATTTTCTTTATTTTCTTTTTGAATTTTTTTTTTAAAATTGTCTCTTCTCCCTTAATATTCATTTTCTCATGAAACACAGAACACCAAGTTTACATTTCACTCTATCTGCATCTCTTTGAGGTCAATATTGATAGCTTCTCTTGAATTTGACTATTCTCCAAATTGATATACATCTCGCTCCCAAGCTCATCATATCATCCTCATAAAATTCCATCACCAGTTACCACGCACAATGGTGTTAAATGGTCACAAACTTCCCTTCAGGCTCACCAGAGCCGACATTCTTGGCTCAGGGTCTGTGAGCATTGTATTTGCTATTGGAGAACGCATTGCATTGAAGGCGCCCATCATCTACAAAGCAAACATCCCCCGTACCGAAGAGCAGATCGAGCAGTCCGCAGAATCTGTCGCCTCCATCACGCGTGAGAAGTGTATCTATGATCTCCTTAATGACCACCCCCATCCAAACATCCTCCAAACCATTTTCCACTGCCCAGATGGGATTTTCATGCCCCGTATGCTCTGCAGCGTCTTTCACTGGATGGGGAATGATCCCAACTCCATCCCTGCATCCCTGCGTCTTCGCTGGGTCAAAGAACTCGCCAGCGCAGCTGAGCACTTGGAAACCCATGGGCTGGTGCATGGAGACATCCGCCCCGCCAACACCCTCCTGGACAAGAACATGCACATCAAGCTAGCCGACTTTGACAGCTGCGTTGGCATCGGCGACGCCTGTCTCGCCTTCACCGTGCCGTACCACGACGCGTTTGAAGAAACGGCCGGCTACGCCACGGAGCAATTCGCAATCGGCTCGTTCATGTACACCGTGTTCACCGGCGTTGAGCCGGAGTTTGAGATCACGGGTAGGAAGCTGCGGGATGAGAAGTTGCCGGATACCAGCAGCATTCTTGGTGGGGATATCATTGCCAGCTGCTGGAGGAAGGAGTATGTATCCGTCGCGGCATTGGCCGGGGAGATTGGGGAGTTGGAGCTCGATGATGACGGAGATACCGATGGGTATGAGATGTGGTTTGTGGCTGGGTCGAACAGTCCTCGTTCCGTGGCAAGCGTCAATGACCAGCCTGATGCGGAGGTGCTTGGTGAGGATAGGATTGAGGAGCTGCGTGTCGTTTGCAAGGGTTTGTGCAATTGCTTAAATGGAAATTGATAGGGGACTGTATTGTTTTGTACATACACACATGTACATCACTCGCGTGTTCCACATATTTTTGCTTTTTCTAACTTGCTACTCTTACGAGGAGGATTTAGGGGGTAAGCGGATTTTTCCTTGCTCTGGGAAGGGCGGACGGACGGACAGACGGGTACGTTAGGGACAAGAATTCGGGCACAAACTTTCTACGTGCTGTACTTATGATCTTCCTGCTTCGTTTTTCAATTATTTTAGTCCACTATCTCCACTCAAATTGCAGATAATCTAGGACACTGCTTGCCTCGTCCCGCGTAAAAACGAATGGACGACCGATCATCACCCGAGTCCAGTTCGAACCGGTGTAGAATTCGAGCACTAGAGAGGCAGCATTCCTTCATGTGTCTAACCAACGCGTAAAAGCTATAAGTGATGATCTAAGGGGCACTTGGAAGTGTGTCGGCAGCTGTGGACATTGTTCATTTGCGTGTACAAAAGCAAGCAATATATGTCAAATTAATCGTACATTTACTCTGGTTGATGGAATCGGTTAACTTTAGAAACATTAATCGTACAAAACCTATGAATCCCTTCTACCCTTTAACAGAGCGACACATTGCAACAGATAAGTAAACACAGCCAACACAGATAAATCCATCCGTCCATTTCTAGGAAAGGTCATTCGTGGGGAGAAAATGAGAGAAAAATGAAAATGAAAACGAAGCGAAACATAGATACTGCTGACAGTTTCAGACTTTCCTCAACTTTTATCCTTCAAATTCGTACGCTCATTAGGTAAAGGGGAATAGAAGAAAATGGAAGGGGAAATTGACGGAATAGGGAGAAGACAAGTGATCCCAACCCAACATATGGAGTAAAGAACAAAAGCCACCATGTGGAATGTATGCATGCAACCGGACTCCCTCTTTTGCAAGTTCAAATTTTAGCTTGTGGTTTAGAAGCCAGAAGAAAAGGAGAGGAAAGGACAAAGAGAAATTGCAGATTCGCGTCAAACCCCAGCTGAAACAAGTGGAACTGAGGTCCTGGGATAGAAGATGGTTGGAACAAGGGCAAAGCACAAGTGTTCATACAGGGGTTAACGAGCAAAGCTGACAACCGTAGCTACTCTAAAATACTGTACCTTCTGATTCCGAAAAGGCAAAGAAAAACGGATGATAAGAAGTAGAATCAAAATAAGAGAAGAGACGAAAAGGGACGAAGATAAAAATCGAAATCAAAATAAACAGAAAAAAGGATTAATTTGATTTAATCTCATCAACAAGTTCGAAGATATCGCGGCGGAGCGTCGGATTGTAATCAGCAATCTCTATCAGCTTATTCCTCGAAGCGAAGAAAATAACATAATTCCATGACTTATTCCCATGTTCGGGGCCCGCAGATTCCTTCGGCAGATTGCGAATCACGTTGCGCAAAATGAGGATTGCCTTGTATGCGATTCCGACGGGCTCGCCTTTTTCATCGATAGGAGTGGGGTAGTAATCGAAGAGTCGTGTGAGTTTTGGCTGGATAATTTTGCGTGGGGGAGGTGGAGGGGGTGAGCTCATATCCTGCAACGGTGGAAGGTGGGTGGAAACGTGGCCGGCGACACGGGCAGTGTTGATCGTCGGAATCTCGTAGTCCTTGCACGTATCCCAGGCACAAATGTTGGTAGGACGTCGCGCATCTTGCAAGTTCCCTAGATCAGCCGGGTTGAGTAGCATGTGCTCGCGGAAAACGTGCTCCTTGAGTTTCGCGGGATCAACGAATGAGACCCTGCATTGACCATTGGGAACGTTCCACTTGCACTGGCGGTATGGATATCCATTTAGGTCGTAAGATGTCTCAAGAGGGCGGATGCCTCTAATGATGAATTTGGCTACTGGGCCGGTAACAACCTGCGCTTGCGCTGACGAGAATGTGCGGCTAACAGTGTTGATAAACTCCGCCGCCGGAAGAGTGCTTACACCAGGCACTCGCTCATCCGCGAAACAATTCTGATAAGCGTGCCAGAGAGCAAGTTGGGTGATGTCACACTCTGGATCTTCGATGAAGCAGCACTTGAGCCAACGAGAGCAACGTTCAGGTTCGGGCAGTTGCAATAGCATGGAATGGAGATCTGGTGGCACTATAGGAATACTAGTTGCGGCGGGTGCCTTGCATTCTTCTTGATCCACTATCTCGTTGACGTCCCGTTCACCCTCAAATAAGAGGAGATTAGTCAAACGAGGGATAAGAGTGGTTGGAAGAGAGAAATTTCTAAGAAGCTCTTCGACATTCTCTGGAATTGCTGTGTACTGATAGAAGAAGTCAAGAGTTCCCGAAAGAAGTTCCTTGTCCTGTTCGAGTAGTGTGTAGCTCATGAGCATGTTAATTTTATCATCTGGGATGCCCTGAAGACGTTTGATCGTTTCAAGTTCCATCGAGAAGAGGATCAAAATCTTTAAAGAAGTCAGGATATGGTATCTATCAGATGACCCTAAAAGCCCAAACAGGACGCTGAAAAGGGGGTCCTCCGGGTCAGTTTCCCAGTACGGGCAGACTTGCTCGATCGTGTCCAGCGCGTAATTTAGGATTTCATTGAAACGTGGCTGACGGGGAGTGTTGAGTACGACAAGCATGCCATCCTTGAAAATCTCTAAAGTTGATAGAAAAACGGCGTTCGCCTCTAGCATCGACATATTCCGCAGCGTCAGAGCAGCTTCCTTGATGTTTCTAAGATTGCGGGCAAATTCCTCCGTCTCCACGTTGTCATCGCTGAGCGTGACTCGAAATTTTGCCATTTTTTCTATGATGTCGTTGTTTCCAGTGCCGTATAGGAGATTGTCCCTTGGCTCTTCGAGGGTGGTGTAATCAACCTCCCATCTGATACCAGACACGAGATAAGTGATCTCTAGGATTTTCTCGACAAGCTCCTCTGCGAGAAAAGGGAAGTCATCGAACTTGAATTTGTCACCCCGTTCGTCTGATATAACAACCAAGTGATGTAGCGCGAAGTCGACTTCGGAGGGAATGTGGGACTGCAAACCCCTGACACAGTGGTTGTAGATACGAGGAGCTAAATGGGAAACTGAAAGTTAGATTTACTTCTCCGCAAACTAGGATACAAAACAAACGCGAAACCCCCAAAAAAAAGGGTCAGGGGGAAGGAGAAAAAAGAAAGAAAGATGGTAAATTGATAAATAGATAGAAATAGTACGGACTCTTTTCGGGTATCATCGACATCATCATAGGATCCATATTGCGCGTAAGAGGTGGCTGATCAACCTGAGAGTATTTGCCCCGGCGGTTTGATGGCGTATCGACCACAATTGTGAACATGGGCGCTCTATTGTCTATGGTAGCCGCGGGAGGAGTAGGGGTGGGCATCATAGTGGCGGTGACGTTGACCGCGGTGTTGTTGTTATTGTTGTTGTTGACGGCTATGGTTGTAGGGGCCGACGAGGGAGAATAAGAGAGAGAAGGGATCGAATTGTCCAAGCTGGCGGGGATACCCGGGGTATTAGCTGTGCTACGGGTCTGCCTGGTCGCCGGACTCGTCGCGGTGTAGGGTTGTCGTTGAGGGGGAGCTCGTCGGAGGCCTGGTGGCAACACTGTCAGTAACTATTCAAGCCGTGATAGGAAGAAAGTGAATAGGTGGTCCGATTTAGGATTGGAGAGGTATTGCAATCGTCAAACCTACCCCTTGCGCTTCGTGCGTCCGCGGGGCTCCCGTCCGCCGCTACTGGACCATTCATGGCCACCTCCAACGGCCTATCGATTTCCTCAAATCAGAAAGGGATGTCCGGTCATCCAATTGAGACTTCCAACTCTGGCGCCAATGTTAGATCTAGACGGACATAGAATGCTTACCACAGCCACTCGTAGTAGAGGTGTTTAACGTGCCACGACAAAGTCGTCGCCTGCGTCTCAGGTATCCCCACGAGTCCGGCGATAACGCACCAGTTATCCTTGTCCACGGAAACCTCCGCAAAACCCCCGCGGTCAAGGACCTCGACAAAGAGAGTATGGGGATGTACCTTCTTCCGGTTTACCTCCCAGAAACTTCCCTGTGTGAGCGGGACAGTGATCGGGTAGCTGCTCCAAACAAAATAGAAGGGAAGAAGACAAAAGCCACGGGTTAGCTGCAGTCTGCTCAAATAAAGGCATATACACGAACAACAAACAACGGAGGTATATCAGGGAGCAGGGGGAGGAATTGCACGCTCAACCGTGCTTGTGCAAGCCTACCTCTGGTCTTTGTGGACATCGCGCAACGCGAGATAAAAGGCGGCAGGGTCAGTCCGGATCTGGTCTAGCGTACTGGTTGGCTCCATCGGTTAGTCTTGGCGAGGATGGATATCACGTGGAGAGCTGGAGAGCTGGAGAGCCGTTGTGCAGGAAAGGCAAAATAAACAGAAAGAACACAAGAGACAAAGAAGCCCAGGGATTCAAAGGATTCTCTCTAGATTTGCTCATTTATTAGAATGTGCACAGAGGACTAGGTGAACATTGATCTGGTGTCTCTCTCCTCACAGAACTAAGGGCACCAGAACTGGGTGCATTTGAAGGCAAAAAAGACAAGGTTGATTTGTTGATGAAGCTCTTCACGTGACAAGAAGTTGGTTGTTCTTAGAAGGCGGTGTAGGATGACCAGGAGGTTAGCTTGTGGGTTTAGTAAGATAATGATCACATGACCAAGCATAGGATTCATTTTTTTGAGGGATCGAGTTCGAGTTACTAGACAGGTAACATGAATAAATCCGCCGGAGCTTTTCATTTTACCTTTTACATGGCCTGCCTGTTCTGTTCTGAGACTTGTCTTATTTTGTTTTTCCTCCAAGGATAATTCTTCTCCAATCTGTCTACCAAAGCACGAGTAATGTGCATCTCCATCCCCTTTAGGAAATTGAGGCTCTCACACTTGATGAGCTTATTTCATCCTCATGCTGTCTTCTTCCTAGTTTCCACCACAATGGTGACATCGAACTATTATTTCCTTGTTTAACTAGTGTACAATACTTCTGCTTGTGATATATCTCTTTGCGGGTCAGCTTTTTCGTTCAGGAAGACGTGTCTTGCATCGTCCCAAACCCAGTTAAATAGCTGTCAGCAAGGCTGGCCATGAGATGGCTTCTCAGACCCTCACAGGGATTACTAGTACTGAGTCCAGAGTAAACTCACTGAATATCCCCATCTTGAAATTCTCATACTCCACCACCTCAGCATACCGTGCCTCTCCGTTAGGATGGACGCACCTATCAAGCAGCGGTGATCTCACTGTTGTTTTCGATCATATCCTGCCCCATGAGACCTCCGCTTCGTTTCCGGAGGGATACCAATGTATGAGAGTATATAAGGGGAGTGACATCTTGGTATGTAATTCCGTCCCTGCTCTTATGGTGATTTGTCTTACACGGGCCCTGGAATCTAGGAACAACTGAATTTGAACTCTTTGGCCAGAGAAGCAGCAGTGGGGTCATCCTATTCTTTCGTCCAGACTGTGAAACCCCCAGTGGCCATTATCGTAAAGTGCCCTTGTCTAGCAGTGCGCTATCCCATGAAAAACGATCAGGTACCAATATGAGATCCACCAGTCTATCTATATGCCGCTAAGCACGCTTTAGACCCGACGTTTTCAGGTCAAGTTCTCCTCCGATTCTGACTACTCCAATGCTATATCCATATTGGCGAAACTTGGTTGCCCAATCACACATTCTGCATCAGTCCCACCTCAGCATGCTTCGTCTAATCGACCATTCTCTCCCTCTTCCCAAAAACCTAGCCTACTGAAGCTAAACAATAGTGGACATACAATGTCGCAAGCACTCTCAAGTCGGCCCGCAGTAGCAGTAGACCAACACCAGACACGACCACGGTCACCTTCCCTGACAGAGCCCAGCACGTCAGGGTCACTTATTAGTTCATTGAGCAATGGGTCAACAAATGTAGGCTCCTATCGTGAGGCGCATGATAGACCTCACACTTCGTCGCTATCCATCCCTCAAAGAGGCACTACTCTCAACAATACAACATCTGCTTCGGCTTACCTAGACATACACCGCCCATCGTCCGCCTTCCGCCCAGTGGAAAGAGATATGCCCCCTTTCCCTTCAAGCCACCCAGGCCCTAGGAAAATGACTCACTGTTCCTCCAAAGACAGGCCAGCCACAGCCCCAGCATTGCCTGATGTAAACTCTCTTAGTCAGATTTTACCCCCAAAACGAGAGCTACCTTTCGCCAAACCTGGAAAAAAAGCCGGCCCAAAGCGGCCGTCTCAGTCACGAGTACCCGCTGGAAGACAAGCAACAAATCCTGTGCTGTCAGGTTCCGGCTTGCCCCTTTGTATATCTCAATCGCGCACTTCTACGTCGAATAATCCCAGAGCGAACCTATTATCCGTCACCAGCCAAGATGGCAGCGGAGCAGTTTCCGATGGGGAAGTTAGTGGTAGTTATGCAAATCCAAATCCAAATCCTCCTTTCTGGCCCCTAACCCATGTAGTTCAAAGCGCGCATATTGGCAATATGGCACAAGAGTCCACCAACACAGCTGCGATCGAATCTAACACTCTATTCGCTAATAGCACGTCAGCAGGCCATGTCAATGACTTAAACAACAAAGGATCAGGCACAGAAACCATCTCTACCCCAGCAATTCCAGCTAACCCACGGATTCCAGCCCAAAGCACGGTGGCAAGAGGATTCATTTCTCTTGCGTCACCTAAAAATCAAAACGAGATATCGCAATCAGACTTATCGGCATACCTTTCAACGCCAAATGCAGAACGATCCGCGCTGGTAGAGTCGTGGGTTTGCTCACAGCTGGAAAGTGACGCATTCCTGGCGCTTTGTCAGGATGTCGAGGGGGTGTGGAGGAGGATAGCCTTCGGCTATTAGTAATTCTACCCATACGTATCACAGGGTGTCTGTGGGCCTTAGCTGGGACTTAGAGCCGCTGCTTTTGATACGTGTCTTCCATTCCACGACATTTTTATTATAAGCTTATCGCGGAACTAGCCATTGCTAGTATATAATTAAATATAGCTCCCCAGTTCCATCCCACTCTGCCTGGGCTATTTACTATAATGCCTCTCACTTATCCATGATTGCATGTGCGCATACAGGGCGGTTATCTTTGATGTTATCCAATTATTTCCATTTTTTAACTACATTTAACTCAGCGTTCTTTGCTGTTCGATGGAAGACTGACTCCTTGAATTACATTCGTAATATCTGTTATAGAGGCTCAAGAATCAGAATAGCGAAGAGAACTCGGGCTGTCAAATTCCTTCCATAATACCTCTCATGGCTCTTCTCCCCGAGTATATACTCGTCAGAAAACGACAGAATAAATACAAATAACGAAGCGGCGGATTCTGATAGTACAGTCTAATAACACAAAACTCCGATGTCTATTTTTATTACTGCATTTGCGCAAAAAACATATTTTACAGCCGAGAAGATAAGAATAATAACAGAAAACGCGTACGGATAACAATAAAAATGGGAAAAGAAGAGCATAGACAAGATGCAAAATAACACGTATGAGTAAGTAGTATCTAAAAACTATTTTGCCTGACAAGTTTTGGGAAGTGAGAAGAATTCATTAAAAGATGTGCCCTAGGTAAACCTAACACAAGAATGAGAGAGTAGATTATTTGGGTGTTTCATGTCACAAGACTGGTGATTGGGAATCATTGGAAATGTGAAGAGAAGAGGACGCAGACGAAGAAGAGCGGAAAACGCAAAGAACAATGCAATAGAAAAGAAAAAAGCAAGGAGTGGAAAGCAAAAGGAACAGAGAGAGTCGTCCCACCAGGCTAGGAAAAACGCCAATATACCGCGCATTGGCCCGCGCTAAGAAACAGTGAAACAATAAATAAAAAACAGATAACCCACACAAACTAGCCCATATTATCAATCTCCATCGATCAGCAATATTACCGCCATCCGATTCTTTGCTTTAGCATCCATTCAGCCGATTCCACATAGATACAGGAGGACGAAACCAACATCCCAAAAGTACAGTACAATCTAACATAAATATAATATAAATAAGGCGACCCGTCAGCGCAATCGAAAAAAAAGAAGTTAAAAAAAAAGCTTGAAACCCAGTCTCAAAAAGGAAACAGTCGATTTTCCCGTTGGTTTCAAAAATAAGAAAAAAAAGAAGAAAAAAGTTTTGTTTTGCAATTTGTCTTCAACCATTCTCTCTCACTTGGGTGTCCATATCCACCAGCCCATAGGCAAAATTGACGAAGACATAAACAGAAACCGGAGGGTGCGTGGGGGAAAGGGGGCAGGGGAGGGTAACTAAAAGGAAATTCCAAACCTACACACTAGGCGATGCATCGATTTCAATTGAAATTCGCTGCAAGCACATTTAAATAGCCCTTTTTTGTCAACCTTGTAAAATCAATAAATACTGCCGGTCTCTGCGGCTCCACACTAGACGGCTGCTGTTGTAGCCCATCTGCCATTTCCGATGGGCCAGCCGCAGTTCTCATATTTGCCTCCTTCTCCTCTCCCGGGCCATTACCCGCAGATGTACCAGGTGGGGAAGGCGCGTTCCCACTACCGCCGGCGCTTCCAGCACCGACGGCTAGGTCAGCCAAATGTTGCAGCGAGCGCTGTTCCGTAGGTCCCACGATTGGCGGTGCGGCCGATCCGGGACCCGCCGCCCCACCGCTGTCGCTAGTAGCACCGACTTGAGGGCCCGATTGTTGTGGTCGGCCCTTTGCAAGCTTTGCTTGGATGAAGCCATGGATGCACGCATCCCACCTGGGTGTGGAGAAGAGATTCTCAAACTCTCCCGCCGTGGCTGAGTATTTTTCCCGGTGCGAAATGATCTGAAGAGCTTTCTCTAATGATTCCCAAGCGTCGTTGGCGAGATCTGGCAGGTCCGTGATTTCAAGGAGTGTTAATACGGCGAGGGAAAAGAAATGAAGGTGGAATGGGGTGGAATGTGTTGTTAGTATCTGGGTGGTTGCTGCTGCTGTTTCAGAGGTCTGCGCTTGCGATTGTTTGTGAAGGAGGTCAATGATGACTTCGGCTGGGTAGAGGATTTCGGACGGAGTATATGTGAATAGGTGCCGTTTGAGGAGGAGAGTAATGAACCAGAACATGAGTGGGGAGAGTTCCTCCATACGTGCGGCATTCATATTGTCAGTGTTGTCGTCAAGATGGAGTTGTTCAACATCCCTAATACGACTAAGTTGGCCGTACATGTTGCGCTTAAGAGCGCGGCTAGCGCCGTAGTTTGACAACGTATACGGTGTTATATCGAAAAGGAGGTCGTGGATCTCCGTCAGGAGCGTTGAATAACCTGAGTTGAAAATGTAGTTGTCAGCTATTACATTGCTAGGAAAATATCAAAATTATTGAAGATGTTAATTCATATATAACATACGCGATATTTGCAACGGTACAGCGCCAAAAATCTGTTGATCTTCCAGCGTGGCAGTTTCGTTGGTATCAAAAATGTCGGGCCCGGCTACAGCAACGGCGTGCCATCGTGATAAAATTCCGACGACAATCCAATTACGCCGTGCGATATTTGCGTCTGAATCGGGTTCGGTGTCATCTGGATTGCTAGTCCTGACCTGGCCCAGGTTTTTCGCAATATGATATGACAGAGGATAAGCAACCTCCAAAAGCACCGATTTTGACAAGCCATTCTGGCCAAGCAGATTTTCCGGCCCGCGAGTATCAGCTTCAAGTACCATCAACAGAATACTTTGGAGAAGTACAAAGTTGGTTGGCAAAGACCTGGATGATGGCTCTTCTCGAAATGACGCGTATAACCGGTCCTGAGCCTTTTCAAATGTTGGGATTTGTTGAAACTGATTTCCGGCACGAAACATATTCGCGCCTGTAACTGCGTAGAGACAGTGGAGAAACACTTCCTGGATCTGGCGATTACACTGCTGGAGATGATCACGGAATCGATCCCTTGAATTAGGCAACACGGGTAGAATGAGATGGATATGATTATAGTAGCTGTTGGGGGGGATTAATCAGGATGCGCAATCTTTGTTGAATATTAGAGCAACGGAGCGTTAACTTACGCGTCAAAAACCTTTTCATCCAACTCTATGGGCGGTTGGAGTTCATCACCCAATGAATTGATATCGCTTTGATGTCCTGATGTAATGCCTTCTTGCGACCAGAACGGCTGATTAACCCTCGCAGACCCATTGGTAAGTGTATTGGAATACGTGTCGACGCCAGCGCCACCATCTCCCTGGTGGCCTTGGGATTGGTCTTTACTTGGGGTCTGGACAGGCCAGCCTCCAACGGAAGTGGGACGCCCATTGTGGGAAAATTGAGATTGCACAAAAGTGTTTTGAAGACCTTCTGACATGGAGTATGTCCTCTTGCGAGGTATAAGATTTCCTTCCACTGGGGAGGAAAATTCCTGGTATCCACGAGGAGATGTGTCCTCCTGCATTGGCTGGTACTGCATGTCAGATTGCGGGATACCAGGATGCATCTGATTTTCGAGACTGTTGATACGGTCGGCAAGTTCTTTTATGTACCTATTAAATGATATTAGTGCCCGAAAATTGGGCAAGTTCAGGGAAAATGGAGCGGACTCACCCTTTGCTAGGACCGCGTTTCATGGGGACTCTACTGAATTCGCAAGTGGCATTGGTACGGCGGCAATTGGTACAAGTCTCCACTCCTGCTTCTGAGGTCGCATCACATCGAACCTGTATTTGTTAGCTAGTCTACTTTATTTTATTGTATATATTTGCTTCTCTTTTGTCAAACTTAGAGAATTCCACTTTTGACTCACCTTCTTGCGCCTGCACTCGTCGCAAGCTCGAGAAACCTTGGATCGCTTTCGCCGCGCACTCTGATCACCATAGCTCAAGTCATGATTGGGATCAACTCCAACCTGTTGATTGGGTGTGAACTGAATGAGATGTGACTGTTGCTGTTGTTGCTGTTGCTGCTGATGTTGTGGTGGTGGTTGTTGCTGTTGTTGCTGCTGCTGCTGCTGCTGGTGTTGGTCATCTTGCGTAGCGCGATTGATGTCAGTCGAGCCAGAATTCGACTGGGCCAAGACCATTGGCTGGCCATGGCCAATTCCATTTGCTGAGCCATCATTCATATTCGCAGTCGAAGCCTCACGAGACAATTCAGCGGAGAGATGCAGCTCGTCCGCGGTCAGGTGTCTCGACTGGTTGGCGTAGTAGGACATAGTAGCTTGACCGATTTGCGCTGCGTTGGGAGAAGGGTACGAGTGAGCCGGAGGGATCTCAGAATGATCTCTAGAATCCATAGTATCAGGCTCACTTGCAGTGACAGCAGCGCGCGATGGTTGTGGTTGAAGCGGGTCTCCGGAAGACTGGTGGCTCGCGGGATAGTCTGGGACAACGCGGTTGTCTGCCATGTACGAGGGTAGTGGCAAGATTTACGTGAGTCTTACGGAGCCATTCGAGGGAAAATATGAAAAGTTAGTCTCGGGTGACCAGTAATTGCAACCTGCAGACTGTACCAGCAGCCAGCGTTTGCCATCACACGGGATACATAGAACTCACGATTGCAGACACGCGGGGGCAGTTTTCTTATGATACCATCCGCCAGTAAAGTTCTCTGGACGGTCGGGCGTCGAGGCGGAGGACGGGGATTGTTTTATGCGAAGGAGAAAACGGCGAAGGAAGAACTTGGACGGAGTTATTCAGGCCTGCTTATTAATGGGGGCTGACAGGAGGGCGAAGTGACGGATTAATAAAGTTCCGGATCAAGGCGGAGGATCAGGTGACTTGAGTTTTCGGCCAGAACAATCCTTGAACTGTACGTATGCTGCGTAGACGGGAGGTTTTTTTTTTTTTTTTTTTTTTTTTTTTTTTTGGATATATATTTGTATATATATAAAAGACTGTAGCCCT